TTAATATATTAATATATTATTAATATTTTTTTTAATAATTATAATGATCGTATGAAGGTGTGCCTCGGAAATTAATCTTTTTACATAATTCGTGAGTGACCAAACCGTTTTGAGACCCACTGAGATAACTTAGACTAAAGTTAACTATCTAAACACAGTCCTTGTTTAGGAGCCTCTCTGAAAGGAGAGGACTCTCCTCCAGCTTGTTGTGGAACAAACAGGTCCTTATGTCCGTTAGTGCAGATAGCTAACCAGATGCTAACAACACGGTCCCTGCTGGCATCGGTGCTTGCCTCTGAACCTATATACAGTCTATGCTCTGAACACGTGAACAGTGAACACGGGAAATTACAATCCTGCCGTCCTCTCTAGTGTCATGATGAGGTTTAGGTAAAGCACGGTTAATGTATTATAGTATTGTTGAGGGAGAATTGTCCGGGGCTACAGAAAAAACATTCGGGGCTTCCAGGCCAGGCGACGCCGCAGCAGACTGTGGTTTGAAATGTCAATAAACTCTTTAAAGCTGCATGTTGCACATCATCAACACTAGATTAGGAATGTACTTTAACCATAGACTGTAAGAAATGTGTGTGAATTGTCAGCGGATACACACACTCCGCACGGAGCGAAAAGCTGGGTTCTGTGCATAGACTGTAGTCGAGACGTGTTGCAAACTAAATATTGAAATGTGCGCTTCTGCTGCTGCTGGTACTACCTGGTGGTCTTCAGGAGGAAGGCTCTTCAGAGCCACAGTGAAGTCATGACTGATCTTCCCCGAGCAGCAGATTCCCCACCTGGTAGCCATGTTGGACAGGAAACAATTAGAGTGAGTTGGAAATCTGACTTTATATAAAACAGTGGCACTCTTCTGCCACAAGGTGGAGCCGCAGTATCATATGTAACTGTGTGACTGTGCACAAAAATAACATGAGGATTTGTACAAAAACGTGACCACCAGAGAGTGACCATAACACTAGAAAATACTGTTGTCTTATTTTGCTCTTATCCTATCTGATCTCCTTTTCTTCCCTGCTAGTGACACAGAGTTGTAGTTTTAACCATTGCAATTACTTTTGGTATATTTGTATTATCTACTATTTGACTACATATGCCTGTTACCTTATTCTGTATTTCATTTTGACTCAACATGATTTTAACAGCCCTGTTGATTCTGGTTAGAGGTGACAAATACAGGGAAGTTTTGTTAGTCCACATCTGTTTATTAATGTAATGCTTGAGGCTGAATGGTCAATTAATCTAACCTCTTTATTAAATAAGAACATTTAATATGTTGAAGCTGTGGCACAAAACGGCACACAATAGACAAATAAATGAGCATGGCATAATAATGGCAGTGCATGAGAATGTTCCCATTTTGCATTCATGGACATGGATAGGGACAGCCTCCAGAGTCCTATTTGAGCCCAAAAGGTTACAACCATTATTAAATGAGCCATGCTCTTTGCTGACTCATAAAGGCCTTCCTCCATCCTAACCTTGAAAAGCAGACAGTGCAACCTATTTTTGTATGGAGTACATGAGTCTATTTGTACACGGCTGCAGGGGTCAGACGTGACACTTTGATTTAAAAGTGCCACTCGAAGTCTACTCTTCTCTCCAGCGGATGATATTTGAAATGAAACAAGTCTTTCACAATCATTCCTTTATTGGATTCATCAATCACACAGCCCGCACTGACAGATGGGTTTGTTTTGGTAAGACTCTACAACTTGATTACAGGACAAGGGTTGTTTACATGGTGATTTATCTGGTTTAGGACATTTTTAAACTGACAGTGTCACATTTTGTCGTGTACTGTGTATCAAATATGATCAATCGTGGGGGAAATTACAATGTATGGAGCTCCAATGTGTCTAAAAGATGCATTTAGATGAAAACAGACCTTAATAAAGCCATCCAAGATTTACATTTTTTTTTAATAATATACCGATTGTATATTCATTTGGTGGCAGCAGTTTGTTATCCAGGTCACAGTTGTCACACGGTGCCATGAGTGATCTGCTAATACCAAAGATTTAACTCTGTTCCGTCTGAGTTGGTTTAGGGCAGGTGAAACATCCCATCTTCAGAGTGATGTTACTGGCTGTCCTGACTGAAGACAACTCCCACCTGCTTCCTGATTTCATCCATGATCTCTGTCAGTAAGACCGAGTCTGCCAGAGGCATCCGTGGGCTCTCCTTAAGTCCTGCGGATAAAGAGGAGTTTCACAAGAAAATCTGACAGTTTATAACCACGGTTCAATTATACAAACGCTCACAATGCAACATTAAAACACCAAAGCAAGGATGTAAAGATTATGTAAATGTAAATAGGAGGCAAACCAATAGGAGCGTGATGTAAGCCGGGGGACATCCAAGGACTGATAACAGCATTGATTCGGAATCAATCTGATGAGTGTGTTTGTGTCTACAAGAAGCTCCAGGTAAGCCTCTGTTTCATTGAATTGCAGCTTCTTTCTTTCAAACTCAAGCTACCTTTCATCTCTTGGAAGACAAATACACTTTCCTTTTGTCATGACGTACCTTTAAGCAGGCATTGCCTCACTTCCTCTGCCTCAAAGCGAAGCCCGGTGCTGTTGTCGAAATTCAGAGGGAGGTCAGGTTCGGGCAGCGGGTACTCCAACTCTTTGCCGTTCACTACGAGTGTGGTAGGGCAGTGCATGGGGCCAAGAACCTGAAGGGAGAACAGGAAATGCATTTTTGTGTTAATCCAATCACTCAACTCGTGCACCATCAAATGCAGTTGGTATGGATATCTAATTAAACGTGAAACTAATTAGCAGTCAACTCAGTTTTTGCATGTCTCAATCATTTCTTGATTAAGTACAATGTTCCTGTGGAAGACTAGCATAGCGTACTTTAACGGAGCCCTTAGTGCCGGCGATGACAGCATCGTTGGGAAGTCGGACAGCAATTGAAAATGTGCAGAAGGCCATCCTGTTCCTGGAAAACTTCATCACAACAACCACTGACTCATCCACTCCTGCAAAACATTTGAAAAGTAAATCATTGAAACATGGGTTGAATAAATGGTATGAATATTACAGTTGAGTAAGTTCCATTCAGTTCAGTTCATTTTAATACACGGCTCTTCAGCAAACTACAATTGGGTAAAATCAGTTCACTTCTATTCAGCTTTACTGGCATCACCTTCTGATTCAAAAGAAAAGGTCACAGCTGTACAAAACGGAAACTTAGGTAAGGTAAGTAAAAGATAAGAAAATGCTCATTACATGAATAGTGTGGACTTAAATTGAAGGATATCTTGCTGCTGTATGCAGTTACATATTCCCCTGTCACTAAGACTGTGTTACTGTATTCCCCCGGGGAGGATTTGAATTAGTCTGACATTTTAAAGATAAGTCTGGGATTTTCTGTGTGGAGAATTCTTCCCTGAGGTGTTTACTTTTTGGACAGTTCATAAAAAAAAGAGATTTTCTGTAAGTTTCTTCTGCTTCCCAATAGGAGATCTTACTTCCTTTTGGACTTTATTTTTGATGCTTTCAATAACCACTTTGCAATCTCTGATTCATGCTGTGTGGGTAATGATACAAATCTGCATACAACTATACTGCTGTGTACTGAATCATACCTGAGTCGAGCAGCACCCCTGTGGCCTGGATGGACTCCGGCCTCTCTCCGTTGAACACCATCAGCACAAACTGCAGGCAGTACACTCCGATGTCCAGCAGTGCGCCGCCTCCCAGCTCCTTCTCCACCGAGCGGGGGATGTGGAGCTGTGGGGAGCCGAAGTAGGCCTTCACCAGCTTCACCTCCCCGACCGCCTCCTCCGCCAGCAGCCTGCGCACCTCAGCGTACAGGGGGAAGCAGCGGGACCAGATGGCCTGAGAGGGGCAGAGCAGACAACCTAGCACCGCTGCAACAGTAAACAGCTCAGTCTGCAGCTTCACCCAGGCAGCAGTTTATTACTACAGCTCCCCACTTCCTCCATCTCCTGTGCACTGTTGTGGCAGATGTGACGGTTAAACATGACATGACAAGATGTTTTACTGCACCATGAGTCATAAATATTCCCAGGACGTTCAGTTTTGCTTCCTACATTAATCTCCTGTGCTTAAAATATCTGCCCTCATTGCACCATCACGCCACTGCTGAGTTCAAATGCAATGAGATATCCACTTAAAATTAAATGTTAATATGTGTGGACTTACTTGCATCAAACCACCTGCTACAAAGGGTTTAAGTCATAGTTATACACAATAGGAAAACTCTTATTTGGTTTCCTGCAGAGATATATGACAAAATGGACTATACTCTCACGTCGGTAAATATTCGTGCTAGTTAGCTTAGCTTGTTATTAAATCAGAAAACCAGATAATTGCTAGCCCTGTTTATTCTCATGGGACAACATCCATAAACCAGCAGCTCTAAATCTGTCTGATTAGCATCTTAAATCTTACGTAAAAAATGTGTAAAACAACAAGTTGCACATTTACTAAGGGGTTATGACCCGGACCAGCAGCAACTATGCTTTGTCATCACTCAGATGACAAATGTGCCGCCTTTATGCTAAACTAAGCTACACATTCTCATCTAGTTTTAGTTGGAAAGTAAATAGCACCAAGCTTAGTTCCAAAACATGGATTTAAAGGCAACATAAAAACACTTTTTTGTTGTTTTTTTCTTTTAAAAATGATTTTATACATCCGAAGATGTCTGTATGACGAGGTAAAACTTGAAATGTTATCTCTAAACACATTCTAATGTTTTGTGTTGTGTTTGTGTTGTGTTGGCTTTTAACCTGCACCTGCAATGGCCCCTGTCAAAGGTCTACAAGGCTGTATACCGTCATCCTTACCTCCATGAGGAAGACATTGTTTTTCTTGGCTGTGGCGACGAGGTCTTTCACCTGCCTGGAGTTCATGGCGAAAGGTTTCTCACACAACACGTTCTTCCCGGCTTTGAGGAACAGCAGACCCACCCTCCAGTGCTCTGTGTGCAGCACTCCCACGTACACCATGTCTGCGAGGACACAGATGTTCCAGGCTCAGCTTCAAACAGCAACACAACAAGCCATTATCTCTGCCCGTGCAGCCTGACAGCTCTTTACTCACCAATGTCCGGGTCGTTGGCCAGCTCCTCGTAGCTGCCGTAAGCCTTAGGAATACCATGCCTGTTGGCAAACTCTTTGGCACGTTCCAGGCTCCTCGATGCAATGACTGCTATCTGTGCGAAAGAGAGAAAAACACATACATTAATCACAGTGTTGCCTTCTCAGCAGGAGAACAGTGTGACAGTGAAGGTTGTGGGCTTTTTTGGATAGAGTACCTGGTGATCTCCAGGTGGAAGAGTCTTCATGGCCACGCTGAAGTCATGGCTGATCTTCCCCGCACCACAGAGTCCCCATCGGGTCGCCATGTTGGATTGGATGGGAAGTGACAAATGAGTGCGATGGTGCTTGAGTAAGACTGAGCGGCTGGTGAGTTGTGACCTTGGGAAAGGTTGCACGTTCAGGGAAAGGAACACACTAAACTGTCGTGCCTTGGAGCCAGCGGCACCTCAGCGAGAAGGCTCCTCAATTTATATGCTGGGGAGGCAGGGTGTGTCACCTTCCCTCTGCTCCCACCCTCAGGTAAAGGGTGCAACACACACACACACACACACACACACACACACACATATTGTTGTGTTGTTGCTGAAGCAGGCCTTTCACTCCGGGCTCGAGTGGTTTTCACAGGCTTTCTCTAACAATCTATAACAGGGCTATCAGTGGGGCTCTCATCATTAACACGATGAAGGGGGAAAAGTGCAGAGTTGTTAATATTTTCACCTTGCCCACAGATCAGCACTCTAGCACTCGAGGTACAGGTCAAGTATTGGGACCAGGCGCTGCTTTGTTCCCACTGAGAGAGACACTGATTAGCCTGCGATGGTCTGACAGCCAAACAGAAGCCAATGATTAAACTAGAGTCTCGTGGGACTCGCTGGGATAAATAGATATGCTGCCCACAGCAGGGCTTTTTAACTGGCCAGTAAGCTGAGCCACGATGACTATGGAAAAGCATCCGCTCAGTTGCCCTTGAGCTACATATTATCCGTTTAGACAGACTGGCGGTTGTGTAAACTTCCTGCCGCATGCAGCCAGTAGAGGACACTGTGTTGTCAGCAGAGTTTACTTTCTCTCTCAAGCTCTGAGGATTTGGCTTGGCTCATTGTAAGGAATTACATAAAGGTTTGCAAAACTAAGGAGAAGACTGAAGCACTACTGCCAGGGCTTATTTAACATTTGTTGAGTTTGTTGTAAAGGAAAATCAATTAGGCTCAGTCATTAATTAACCAAATCGTGAACAGATCTGTAATTAAACACATTGTACATATACATACAGATTTAATATTGCATTCAATTCAACATACATCATAGTAATTATCTCGTCCGATAATTCCAGTCTTCAGTATATGATTATCGTCCTCATTTCCTGCAGGTTCTAAATGATGATTGGACGCACATGAGAACATAGTGTCAGCAATGTCATCATCAGAAAGGAATAGGAATTTTATCAATGAGTCTCCTCGCTGGCTGCTTTCCTTTTTGTATTTCACTTCCAAATGAATTCTGGGAACTGTGTGCCGTTGTCATAACAACAAGGTGCCAGCTGGGCAATTTGTATGCAAATGGCACTGGGCTTGGCCTGATATCCCTGCCTATACCACAGGACCTGGTTGCCATGGGAATGCCCAACTTCTCTGAGTAATTTATACTTTTTTATTTTTTTGTTTTAAGGATCCAGGACACAGAAGCTTTTCTCTTGCAGAGCTTCTTCGTGACTTCACTACAGGTGTTAAGAAAATAAGTAGAAGTGAGAGGGAGGAGTTGTAACCTGCGGGGCGAGGGCAACTCGGCTTTGGATTGGTGTAAAGCCATGGATTAGTTCTGTGCTGTCTGACGTGACTTCAAGCAGACTGGCACGCAGCTCAGGGGCTCAGGTGCTCAGAGGAGGGTGTTCTGGAGAGGGCTTGCACAGGGTCGCCCTGCTTCTCCCTCCTTCCCCCCCCTGCCCCATGTCCATCAGCTGAGCCATGGATGCCCCAGCGGAGAATGAAAACTCAAAATGTCCTGCTGAATTCTGCCCCCCCCCATCATAGAAGTTATCAAGATAGCCATGTCTCAAGCTCCTCTTTTACTTAGCTATTGTGCATATGACATTAAAGCCGTTTAGGGCTGCAGAATTAATGGAAATGTTATCGTAATTGCAATGCAAACTAGTGTATATTGTATTTGGGAAAGGTTAAATGAGTGATAATATCTGAATGAAGTAGTGTGGTGCTGCAGAGAAGTCGTGGCCTAGTATTCGCATACTTACAAAAAATCCCTTTTTGGTACAGAATCTCATTAAAAGAATCACACCATCATCATATTAACATATTTTTTATTAAAAATAATGTGAATAACTTTGATAAATGTCAATAACTTTAAATAATCCTTCTCTTTATTGCACCAAATAATATTGCAATATTATTCAAACATTTGTTAAAAGTTGTTTTTCCCTAATCTGGCAGCTCTAGAGCCTTTGAATCTTTGAAAAAATCAAGGTAATGAGGAGAAAATGCCTGCAATCTTACTATTTTTTCAGGTTTAATGAAGACTGGCTGGATTTCACAGGGTGGAGTTTGGGGCCCTGGGTCTCTGAGCCCGGCCCAGGGAAGGTACAGACGAATCCAGAGAGCGAACAGTGATGAGCCGAGTCATTCAGAGAGCTGGCGTGCTGAAGGAAGCCGGCGCCTCATTAATTCAGCACGGCCAGGACGATTGCCTTCCACTCCTATCACTTCTCACTGTCTTTATTTGATTAGGAATTCATGCATCATCTCTTGTCTGCGTCCCTCTTCCACCAGGACATGGAAGAATGGCATCTGACGGGTCATATGACCGGTCACGACGGTTCCCTTAGAGGGGGTGGATCATTGCGCCTGTGAAGGTGGTTGATCACAGCGGACAGTTTAGTTTCACACTTTGTCATGTCATTTTATTCTGTGTATCTCGCTGTCAAAAAGACTCTGCCTCCCCTTTGTCATTCACAATGACTTTGCAACAGTGAAAGCCTTGAACTCAAATTCAGCTAATGAGCTTGCGAATACAATTTCTTTTTGAAGGGAATGAACGAAGATTTCAAGGCAAACATTCAAAACTCTTAAACTAGAAGAATTGTTATAAAACATGTTGCTTGATCTTTATCTCACGTTTTTATCCAATCTAATTAATGAAGATAGTAAAAGCTACAATGTGGCTCTGCTGCAGCTCAAGTTACGATGTAACAGCTCCTTATTTCATCAGCAACTTCAACTTAAAGGGAAATAAAAAGGACCAGAGAGACACACCCTAATCCTATTTGGATTGATGCGGATATGCAGGGTCTTTCCCTCCCTCCTCCAGCTGTCAGTGTAAGTGAGAGCCGTCTTCCTGCTTTGGATTTTTTTTTTGTGGTGGGAGAGGAACAGTATTGCAGCAGTTATAGGAGCACCATCACTCCTTCATCTCTGTCTCAAGGTCACTGCAGAGGAAGGGTGACAGGCTAGACAAGCGCCAGGAGGTGCCAGCCATTTTGAGGGGAGGTTGGGAGCTTGATGAATCTGGGGAGGGGAGAGGGAAGTGCGCACCGAAGAGTAATAAGTCATTTTGTCAATGCTACAGCATGTTCTGATGTGTGGGCCGGGTTATTTCTTTCCGTTAGAAAAAGTGTGATAGAGGGAGGCTGAGAGGAGGAATGGGAGCCTTTGAGCTGGCCTGCATTGTGCCGGCACTTTGAGAGTCCTATCTTAGTCTGCAGCACACACACACACACACACACACACACACACACACACACACACACACACACACACACACACACACACACACACACACACACACACACACACACACACACACACAGCTGTGGAGCAGACTGGACCAGAGCTGACGGAGCAGCCATTCATCTGGATGTTAGTGCTGATAGGGAGGTGAGCAGGAGGAAGAGAGAGTACAGTCAAACATGGAGCTATTCACCTAACTTCCTTTCAGCCCACTCTCCATGCGGTTTCATGCTTTTTGGTCAGCCATAGACATTTTTGCCAGGGTGAGACACGGCTGAAAACTCACTCACTGACAAGGAAGACACGTTAGGCAACATGTCAGCAGGCTGGTTATTATATAGTTTCATGAGTCAGCATTGTGCACTTTGTCCCGGATACTTGGTCTGGTTCAGGGTCCATTTTTTACAGTGTTAATGGCACAAAATATGCTGTTACTGGTAGCGACTGTGCACATTACTGCCCAACGTCCCTGACAAATGTGACTTAATTCTCACATCTGCAAACCCAAACACTCCAAGGTCATTTTAAGAAAAATATACGTTGACGTTACCCTTCTACTTTCGACATGTCCTCATATAACATGTGAACAAAAAGTTATTTTGTCAATTTTTCCTGTGTTTTTCTAAGATTGTGCAACACAAGCCATCAGGGTAACTTCACAAACCCCTTCAGTGCAGAACCTGTTTGCGCAAAAAAAATGACTTTGTCAACTTTAGGAAATTAAAGCATGTGGTTATGTCTAAGAAACTAAAAATAACTACTTCGCTGGGCGACAAAAATATTGTAAAATTGTAAAAACAATGCTAAAAATGCTCTCCTTTAAGATTCCGGTATTTTTACCCCAACTTCCTTCTTATGTGGTTTACAATTCATTTGTTTGTGGGGTTATTTAATAGTTGTAGTACATGACTTTGGTAGGCAATAGGAAAAACAGAGTGTGAGATCAGCCTGAAACTTTATGCAAACAAACCAGGTAGTACCAATAAGTATTACACTGACCAAAGTTGCAGGTAGAAGTACAAGGTGAATAGGTTTACCATTCTGAGTTTGCAGAGTGATTACAAATGTGCCAAAATATATCTGCTCTTTTCTGTAATGTTTACTCCAAATGTCGCTGAAAGAGATGTTTCGGAACAACAAATACAGCTATTTGAGAAGAGGTTTGCCCCTGTGGTGTATTTTTATTTCAGATTGAGTGCTAAACAAGGTGTATTGTCTATCAGTGCTCTTGTTCCACTGGAGTAAGTACAATCTGTCTCCATTAGCTGCAGCCTGAATCTAGGGAACATGGGAAACACACTGTCACTCTCCTTCTCTGTATCTCACACACACACGCACGCACGCACGCACACACACACACACACACACACACACAAAACTTGTTGTTGTGTCTCTATGCAAGTCCACGCTGGTGCCACGTCGTATCAGCTGTGGTGAGAGTAGTGGACATGTGATGAGCCAAGACTTGGGCAGATACCAACCTCTATCACTCGCCTGATGATGTCCATATTGGAGTGAGTATCCATCACCTCCATGATGTTCTGGATGTCTTGAGGTGAAGCATGATCAGGAGTCCGATGTATACATGCCCAAAAGTGTAAGCCCGTGTGATTTCAGATTACAATGTTTTTCCTGGACCTAAAACAAAACTCAAGTAGTAAGTGATGTAGGGTCGTCCAAGGACGTCCAACTGTGGTGTTGGATATGAGACCATGCCATTG